TTCATATACTGTAAATTCCAGTTTTTTTTTTTTGAGGAAGATTGGCCCTGAGCTAACATCCGTGCCCACATTCCTCCACTTTATATGTGGGACGCCTGCCACAGCATGGCGTGCGAAGCGGTGCCTTGTCCGCACCCGGGATCCGAACCAGTGAACCCCGGGCCGCCGAAGTGGAACGTGCGCACTTAACCACTGCGCCACTGGGCCGGCCCCAAAATTCCACCTTTTAAGGTATATAATTCAATGGCTTTTAGAAACATCAGAGAGCAGGGCAACCAACACTACTATCTAGTTCCAGAGTATTCTCATGACCCCAAAGGACCCGCCCCCCTTCCCGTGCCCATCAGCTGTCACCCTCCGTTCCCCCATTAGGGGTGAATCGAGTCCCCCAAAATGACACGTTCAAGTCCTGTGAACTGGCTCGTTTGGAAACAGGGCGTGGCAGGTGTCATTAGTTATGGAGGTCGCACTGGACTGGGGACCCTGAGACCAGCGGCTGACGTCCTAGTAGGAAGAGGGAAGTTGGACACAGACACAGTGGTAGCTGTGTGACGACGGAGGTGGAGACTGGGTGGGGGGATGTGGCCACAAGCCCAGGAGCGCCCAGGACTGCCGGCCACGCCAGAAGCTGGGAGAGGTGGCAAGGACCCACCCCCAAGCGCACTATGAGCCCACAGGGCAGACGTGGGCCTGGGTCCTGGACCCGGGGTCTCTGCGTCCACCGCCTCCACGCTGCCGGGGACGGAGGTGGGGTGCTGGACCGCCTGGAGCAGCCGTTGATCCTGCAGCTGAGGAACGCTGAGCCTATGCCCGCTGCCTCAGTTTACCCCAGGGGCAAACACAGACACACTGTTTTACAAAACCGCGCCCCCCCGAGGGGCGGAGAGGAGAAATGTGAGCGAGGTCATCTGTGGTTGTGGCATCCGCTTAGGGGACACGCCTCTTCCTTCTGAGGACCCAGCCCGAGGTTTCAGAAGAGGCCATTGCATGCGAAGGGACCAGGGGCGCGTGTGTCAGAAAGCGTAGGACCCCAGAGCCGGGCCCCGAGCTGCCTCGGTGGCTGTCCCTGCTTCCTGTTAATGCAGGATCCTTGGATGTGGACTTGAGTGTGCACGGACCCCCGGCTGAAGGGGGCGGGGGAGGAGGCGCTGCTCTGAGCACGCCCGCTGCCCAGGGGGCTGGGAAGAGCTCCCAGCTACAGCCATGGGTCTCATCCAGGCCATCCTGCCCCCAGGGGACCCTGGGGACATCTGTGGTTGTCACACTGGGGGCGCTCCTGGCATCGAGTGTGCGGGGGCCAGAGGGATGCTGCTCAACCACCCCCCCACCCAGTGCCCAGGACGGCCCCCCACAGAGGATGACCCGGCTCTGAGTGTCTTACTTGGCACACAGGAGCCGCCAGAGTGACCATCTCTTTCCCAGAACCCGGCTTCTTAAGTCACACTTGCCTTTTCTGCTTAAGAAATTGGAAGCTCGAGATTCCAGGAACTCAGAAACAGGGCTCCCCAGCCGGGGCGTGTCAAAAACTTCCCGGAGGAAAAACCCCAGTTCCCAGCCGGCGGTGTGGGGGGATTTTCGCGAACCCTCCACCTTAGGCAGCGCTGGAGATGGGAGAAGAGCTCCCGGAAGGGTGACTCACGCGGACTCTCCAGAACCTAGCGGGCTTCGGCCGTTTTTACCCACGGAGCAGGCAAACATTAGCATATGAAGCGTCTGAGTTCAGGAACTGAGACGGCCCTTCTGTGAACCCCCCGAGGGACTAAAATAACCGCTGGGGCCGAGAGAGAGACAGACGGGAACTCCGAATTCAGCACGTCCACAGGGACGAGGGGCGCCTGGCTCCGCGGGAGACTTAAGGATGAGGACACGCTCTCCCCTCGAGTAAAAAGTGAGCCATCGAGCCCGGAAAAGACGCGAGGAACCATAAAGGCACGTTACTAACTGCACGAGCCAGGGTGAGAGGGCGACGCACTGTGAGTCCAACTCTAGAACCTTCTGGAAAAAGCAGAACCCAGGAGACACACAGGATCTGTGGTTTCAGGGGTTGGGGGAGGGACAAACAGGCAGAACACGGGGGTTCCTAAGGCAGTGACACTTTTCTGTATGGTGCTATGACGGTGGACACACGACATGCTTTTGTCCCAACCGACAGAACACACAGCACCGAGAGTGAACCCAAATGTCAAGGGTGGACTCTGGGTGACAATGACGTGTCCAGGAGGTTACTGGGATGTTGATAATGGTGGGGGGGGGGGCGCCGTGCATATATGGGGCAGGGGACATATGAGAATTCCCTGCACCTTCTACTCAATTATGCTATGATCCTAAAATGGCTCTAAAAAAAATAAAGTCTCGGGGCCGGCCCCGTGGCCGAGTGGTTAAGTTCGCACGCTCTGCTTCAGCCGCCCCAGAGTTCGCCGGTTCGGATCCTGGATGCAGACACGGCACCGCTCATCAGGCCACGCTGAGGTGGCGTCCCACATGCCACAACTAGAAGGACCCACAACTAAAAATACACAGCTATGTACCAGAGGGGCTTTGGGAGAAAAGGGAAAAATAAAGTCTTAAACAAAATAATAATAAAATAAAGTCTATTTAAAAAAATTATAGCCAACACTAATTCATCATTACGACACCCCAAGCATTTGGCTGGTTGTCTTGGAGGAGCTCACCCCACTTAAGAAACAACTGGAGCCACAAACAGGAAGCAGAAAATGACGAACCTGATGAAAGCGGGAGTTGGACATGTACGTGTGAAAGGAATCAATGCCACGGAAGGTGCTAGAAATACAACGTGCACCGCATGTGTAATTTCAAATTTTCTAGTAGCCACATTGAAAAGTAAAAAAAAAATGAACAGAAACAGGTGAAATTAATAATATATTCTACTTAATCCAGGAGCACCAAAACACCATTTCGACACCTAATGAATATAGAAAATATTAAGGGGATGTTTTGCCTTTTTTTCTCTTTAAACCGAGTCTCCGGGACCCGGTGTGTAGTATGCACTTATAGCGCATACAATTTGCAGCGGCCGCGTTTCGAGGGTTCATTAGCCACGTGTGGCCAGTGGCTGCTGCCCTCGATGGCTCAGCCCGAGGGGGCCGAAGGAGAGGGAAGACGGGGCAACGGGACGGGTGCTGTTTGAGGCGGGTGCTGGATTCAGATCCGGGGATGAGGCTCTGCCTTGTTGGGGGTGAAGGAGCAGAGGGTGCCTCCCAGGAGGGAGGGGAGAAGCAGGGTGCTGTCGGGTGCAGGCTGGGGCAGCCGGGACTTCACCTGCTGGGTTCCCACTCCATCATCAGTGCACTGGTTCAACCTGACCCACGACACACGCAGGGAAATAGTCACTTAGTCCTGAAAGCGTCAACTCGGGGGCACGGGGGCTCAGGACTCATGCGAGGCTGCAGGGCCCTGTCCTGATGTCTGTCGGGGTGGGACCCTTGGCCCCACTCAGCGCTGAGTCTGTGAAATGGGCTAATTAGAGTCTCGGACCTTTGGGCTGGGTGGAGGGGGAAGGAGGAAGCGGCTGGCGGGGCCCCGTGTAACAGAACCAAGTTTAAACCCAGAAGTGCAGGCAGGCGGGAAGGGGGGCATCGCATGTCAAAATTTACCCAGCTGTGTGCTCTGCACACGTGCCGTCGACTGTATGTCAATTAAACCTCTATAGGACTGCGAAAAAAGGATGCGACGGGGGAGAGGTACGCGTGTTCAAACACCGGAAGACGCTCACCCCAAAATTAACAGTAGCTCTTGCACACTCATTTTCTGCTTTGTGAGTTTCTGGGTTTTCCAATTATCCACCTTCCCTTTTCAGTGACATTTATAAAATACAGTCACGCGTAAAACATACCTAAGAAAAAGGAGCTGTGAGGTCACCCAAGGTGTGCTGACCCCGGCCAACACCTCTGGCCCAGTCCTTCCCAGGGCTCAGTGACTCTGGGCACCAGGAAGCAAGAAGCCTGCTTTTAAAAGGCCGGGGTGCCCCTGGTTGGGGGGGGCCCCGAAATCCTAGGAATTTGGATCCCAACCAGGAGGCGGGGTCCTGGCGATGGGGACAAGGCGCGGGGTTGACCCCAAAGGGACACTAGTAACCACGAATGCCACCGAGGGCCCACAGAACCCCCTCCCGCCGCCCGATTTCGCCCCTCCCGACGGATCTGGCCTCCCCGCCGCCCGCGTTCGCCCCTCCCGACGGATCAGACCTCCCGCCGCCCGCGGTCGCCCTGCCGACGGATCTGGCCTCCCCGCCGCCCGCGTTCACCCCTCCCGACGGATCGGACCGCCCGCCGCCCGCGGTCGCCCCTCCCGACGGATTGGATCTCCCGCCGCCCGCGGTCGCCCCTCAGAGGACCCACCTGCCGCCTCACGCTCGCCTCCGTCCTCCGTCCCCGGTCTCGGTCCCCGTCCCCGTCCGCAGGCCGCCCGCCAGCCCCGGCCTTGCCGCCGCCCGCCGCGGATGGACACCGCACACGCCCCGCCCGGCCCCACCCTCCCAGATGGCCCTACTTCCGCTACAGGCTGAGGCCTCCCCGGAAGCGGAGCCGGGGCGCGGACTTCTAGCCCGAGGGGGGCGCGCCCAGCCGCCGCGCTCTCCGTCGCCTGGCAACCGGGGACGGGCCGTGACGCCATTGGCTGGTGCCGGAGGCTCGCGGCCTGAGGGCGGAACTTGGGCCTCGAGCAGGGGCAGGGCGTGGAGGAGGAGCCTACGCCAGCCGTGGGCGCATGCGTGGGGCGCGGCCTGAGGGCGGGGCCGAGCCGTGGGTGGAGTTTCCTCTGGGAGTGGCGGCTCGTGGGCGGGGCCTGGGGGCGGAGCCTGAGCCGTCAGTTATCCTCTGCTGGGGCGGGGCCTGGGGCCGAGGAGGGCGCCGTTGGTTGGTCGGTGCGCGCCGAGGGGCGTGGCACAGGGCTCTGTTGGTTGGCTGGCGGCGGAGGGGCGTGGCGCGGGGGTGCCGTTGGTTGGCTGGCGGCGGGGGGCGTGGCGCGGGGGTGCCGTTGGTTGGCTGGCGGCGGGGGGCGTGGCGCGGGGGTGCCGTTGGGTGGTCGTGGTGCGCGGGAGCCATCGCGGGCCGGGGCGGCGGGGGCGGCATGGCCCTGTTGCTGTGCCTGAGCCTGACAGTGGCGCTCGCCCGCGGCTGCCTGCATTGCCACAGCAACTTCTCGGATAAGTTCAACTTCTACCGCGACCACGTGAACCTCAAGTCCTGGTGGGTAGGCGACATCCCCGTGTCGGGCTCGCTGCTCACCGATTGGAGCCAGGACACGATGAATGAGCTGCACCTGGCCATCCCTGCGGAGATCAGTGAGTGCCGGAGCCCCGCCCCGCACCCCCGGCCCGGCCAGACCCCGGCCCAGCCGGCCCGCTCACCTGCCTCTTCCGCCCGCAGCGCGGGAGAAGCTGGACCAGGTGGCGAACGCTGTGTACCAGAAGATGGATGTGCTGTACCAGGGGAAGATGTATTTCCCGGGTAAGGTGGAAACTGAGGCTGGGCCGACCGGCCCCAGGACCCCTGCCTCTGCCCATGGCCCAAGCCTGACCTCCCTCCTCCCGCCTCCCCCATCAGGGTATTTCCCCAACGAGCTGCGAAACATCTTCCGAGAGCAGGTGCGCCTTATCCAGAATGCCATCATCGAAAGTGAGCAAACGAGGGCTGGGGGACCCAGGGCTATAGGAGGATTTGAGTCCCCTTCGAGGCTGGGGGCCCCGGCCAGGGCAAGGCGAGGTTAGAGTGCTGTGAATAGGGAGTCTGTGCACCATGCAGCCGGCGTTAGAACTCGGAGCCTGCAGCGGCTGGGGACAGAAAGCGGGGAGCAGGGCAGCTCCCAGAGGAAGGGGCTCTTTCATCCTGGGGCCTTGAAGGATAACCCCCACCCTTCCCTGCCACCTCCCTGGAAGTCACGCTTCCTGGTGATTTGCCCCATCTCTTGGGCAGGCCCAGGAGAGTGGGCCAGAGCGGGAACGGGCTGGGTCTGCTAAGGCGGCGCTGTCCGGGCTCTTGTCCCCCGCACAGGCCGCATCGATTGTCAGCGTCACTGTGGTGAGTGCGCCTCTGTCCAGGCCGTGGGGCGCGGTGGCGGTGGCAGCGTGGGGCCCCGGAGGCCGAGGGGAGCCCGCCGCGGCCTGTCGTGTGTTGCAGGCATCTTCCAGTACCAGACCATCTCCTGCAGCAACTGCACAGACTCGCACGTCGTCTGCTTTGGCTACAATTGCGAGTAGGGCTCGGCGGGCGGCTGAGGGCCCCGCTGTCCGTGCGGTCTGAGGTCCTCCCCAGAGGGGGCCCCTCCTCCGCCTCCCCCACCCCTGGCCTTTCACCACCTGGGCAGGCAGGGTGGAGTGGAAGCCCCCCTAGCTGGCCCCCTGAATTTGGGGCCACGCCACCTCCACAACCCGTGTCCCTGCAGGTCGTCGGCGCAGTGGGAGATGGCTGTGCAGGGTCTCCTCCGTTACATGTGAGTCATGCAGCTGGGCTCGGAGGGGACCCCGACCGAGGCCACATGGCTTCTGACTCCAAACTTGCTGTCCTGTCGTTGTAGAAATATATGGCACAAGTAAGTCCCCTCCCCCAACCCCAGTGAGTTGATCAGAGGCAGCGTGTGCATCCTCCGGTGAGTACGCGCCAGGTGGGCCACGGGAGGTGGTGCCTGGCCCTGTGCGCTCAGGTCGATCACTCTGGTTAGAGTCCCCGTAGAATCTGGTCCTACCCCTGCCCCAAGTGGGAGGCAGGGCTGTGGTCGGAGCTGGGGAGGGAGAGCGCTCCAGGATGGATGCGTGCCCCAGTGGAGGGGCCTGGGGCCACAGGCACAGCTTCAGTCCCAAAGCTCGGGGCTAACCGGGGCCCTGTCGTGTCTTTCAGACAGAACACCAAGACGAGGTAAAGCCCCCTGGCCCATCTCCTCCAACGCCCTGGCCTGGCCTTCCAGAGGGAGGAGCTCCTAGGGGAGGAGATGGGGGGGTGAGGGAAGCGGTGCTCTGGGGTCCTTCGGGTCAATGGGGTGGCCAGGGGGTTTGGACAGGGCGAGCACAGCCAAGCAGGGGTCTCTCTGCACCTGGGACACCCCAGACCTCACCTCTGCAACCACACCCTGCAATCGCTTCGTGGCTTCGTGAATAACTATGCGTCCCTCTCCCCCTCGCTGCCGGATGCACAGGACCACTCCAGCCTTGTGAGCCACCCGGAGGGACCCGGGTGGGCTCTGGGGGTGGGGATGTACCTAAGCCAGACAGCAAAGCTATGGCCACTTTGGCGCAGGCCCCCCCCCATGCCCTTTTGACACCCGTCGTGGGGATGTTGGTGTGACAGAACCCAGTGCAGTCTTGGGGACACAGAACAGGCAAGGCCTTGGGGTCCAGCCCATCCCATGCCCCACTTAGGAAGACAGGCCCAGGCCCCAACAAAGGCCCCCCAGGGAGGGTATGGCGGGGAGGGGAGAGGAGGGACTGAGGGCACCGTGTCCCCCCGCAGCCTGGTGTCGCCCAGCTTCACGTGTCTAGAGCCCCCAAACCTAGCCAACCTGACTCTGGAAGACGCTTCCGAGTGTCTGATGCAGCACTGACGGCCGCCAGGCCTGCCGGACCCACCCCAGCTGTGATGCGGGGCCAAGTTGGCTGGACTCTCCCAGCCCGCACGTGCGGAGCAGCCTGGCTGCTGCCTCGGGTCCTTGCCGCCATCCAGCCGGGCCGGCCGGGAGGAGGGGAGGTGGGTTTGTATATAGTGTTGACGCCGAGTGGGACCACAGAGCTACTGGACGGAACGATTAAACTCCCTGACCTTTCTCATCTCGGAGTGGTCCTTGTGGGGCAGGGAGAACGGCGGGGGCTCGGGGGCTCGCAGGCCTGGGTCCCGGCAGGATGGCGGGGAGGGCTGGCCGGACAGCAGCCTCCACGGTGAGTCCAGGCGCGGCTGCAGCGGTGGACAGGCACACAGCTGACCAGCGTGATCCGCGGCTGACTGCTCACCACAGCGAGGGAGGCCTGGGAGACCGGCACCGCCAGGAGGCCACTCTGTCAGAAGAGCTGCTGCCAGCCAGGCAGGCCTCCGGCTCGGGCGCTCGCCCCTCTCCCCACCAGCTCCCTCTTGCTCTTGCATCCAAGGGGGTCCAAGGGGATCCCAGGACGGCTCTCGAGAGCTGATGGACCCCAACCCTGCACACGCCCTCCCGTAGCGGCTTCACTGACAGAACCCGGCACTGCTTCCCTGGGAGTGTCCGTGTCTGGGGTCGGGGAGATGTGGCATTGTTGAAAATGGTGTTGGGAGCCTCAGGGACGTCCCGGGGAGACTGCAGGGTGGTGGAGTCACATGGCCCACGTGCTGGCAGCAGGTGGTGACAGCCAGGCTCTGGTGCTCCTGGTGCCCCCCCACTGGCCTGCACAGCCTGAGGGTGGCGAGGGCGGTGTGGATGCAGGCGGCGCCTACGTGTTCCCACTGAGAGCGGGGAAGGAGCCTCCTGGCCAGCATTTCTGGACAGGACAGTCTTCTGGAAGGGACATTGGTGGGGCGCCCTGAGCTGGTTCAGCCTGGGCTGTCTGTGCCCGGCTCCTTGCCCTCCCACACTTTGGCATTCAAAGTGGAGTTGATTTGGGCTTTCCGTCTGCTCACCCAGCCTGACCTGTCTTGAACTGTCCATTGTCCACACGGTGTCACCAAAGCCAGCGGAAGTGTGGTGAATTAAACCCCCATGGAAGGCAGGGCCGGCCTTCCAGCATCTGCTCCCCGCACTCCGTCGGTGGACCTCGTGGAGCCCCCATGGGTGGGGTTGGGTGGCAGGTGGGGGTCGCGTCACCTCCCAAGAAGATGAGAGGCACCTGGGTGGGGAGGATAGGGCTCCCCAAACACTGCGGCCTCCAGGAGAGCGCCCTGCAGCCACCAGACGAGCCCGAGCAGCTTGGGGACCGTCCAGAGCCCCCCGTGTGCTGACCGCCCCCCGCCGGGGTGCGCACGGGCGCGGGCAGGACAGCCGGCATGGAGACATGTGTTTGCAAGTTTATTGAATCATCCTGACACAAAATCATACAGCAGCGTGATATGTCTCTCCTGTATACGGGAATGTCGATGGCAAATAAAGTCTGTATAACACATCATACAATGTCGAGATTCTAGAATCACTGCACGGGATTCTGTAATCGATTACTCTACATGCTAAAGTGACAGTTTTCATCAAAAGGAAAAGTTAAAACGTCATTGAGGACCATCGTCTCTGAGGAAGGTTCAGTCTCGGGGTGGGCCGGGGTCCCCTCGCCCTGGCGGAGGTGCATTTCAGGGGCCCGGCCGCCCCAGGATGCATGTGCCTCGCTGTTGGGGCGACGATGACCAGGACTGGCCCCCCAGCAGCTGCAGGGACGGCCCTGCGGGTGTTCAGTGACGAGACGCGGCAGGCAGAGCTGCAGCCCTCTGCCACCCACCCCAGCGGGGCTGACGAGACACTGTGCCGAGCAGGGCTGTCCAGTCCCGCTCCGGGAGGGGGCCTGGCTGGATCCCCTGCCTCGGCTGCAGCCCCCCACCTCTGGTCTGCCACCCTTTTTCACCCGGCACACGAACACGGTGGTGGGACGCAGAGAAGACAGTGGACGACAGGCAGCACGACCCTTTCCCACCGTGTCCTGGGGAGAAAGATCCTGACCCACGGCCGACAGAGGAGCAGGGAACGTCAGCGCCGGGAGCAGCCAGCCCGCTCTTCCCACAACGCGCCACCAGGCAGGGTGCCTGGGGCTCATGGGACTCAGATGACTCCACAGAAGGATGCGCCACCCTGCCCCATCGGCTGAACGTCCCTCACCCTGGACCCACCAGGTCCCAGCCGGGGTCCCGCTCGCCCCTTGGGCAGCCCCTGCAGCCATGTGCACAGTCGGCCTCCAGCTACAGGAGCCCCTGCTGCTCTGAGGCCTGGAACGGGGCTTCTCGCCAGAGACAGTGGGAAGAGCCAAAGTAAAAAAGATGATAGGAGAAATCAACGCAACAGAAAACCCTGACGTCTAAATGACGGACGACAGTGGACTTAAATTAATGCCCGGGCTGGGTGCAGTCCATGCGACAGAGAGAAACCTATCACTTGGAACCGGCTCTCCCTCGTGTGTCCTCCGTGGCGGGTCGCAGGTGGCACTCAGCACGTGGCCAGCGTGGCTCGCATCTCCTCCAGCAAGTTGCTCAGCAGCGTTGAGTCGCTGCATTTCCCGTCAACCGACACGGACTTCTCGCCCTGAAGAGGGACAGCAACGGGCAGTGTTCCCACCCACTACACGCAGACACCGCCCCCGGCTGCACGCCCCCACTGGCAGTTTTCCAGATACTTCCAAGGGCGAGCGCTCTGACAACTGACCAAAACGAGGAGCGCCGGGTAAGACGGAGCGAGCATGCTGGCCTGTGTCCCCCACGCGAGGAGCTATAAACCCGGGACGGAGGCGTGGAGCGGCTGCCTGCGGGTCTGGGGACAGGACCAGAAGTGGCAGGGCCCGGGAGGTCCTGGGTGGAGCGTGGGGAAAGCGAGCCGTCAAGTGGTTTATGCCCTGCTGGGTCCACCGGAGCTGAGCATGGGTGGAGCTCAGCCTAAGGAGCACACTCGAGACGCCGGGAAGACAGACCACCGGCCGGCCCCACGGGGGTGCATGGAGGCGGCTCTGAAGAGCGGGACAAGGGCTGTGGGAGTGGACGGACACATCATCCCCAGAGGATCTCAGCGAGCCCCACAGGCTCATGGTGCTCAGACGTTCAGGACAGAACCCAGAACTGCTAGGGCAGTCCCGGCTCTCACGGACAAGACAAACCCAGGCCGAGACGCAAGGTCGGAAGAAGCTATCCTGAGAAGGCTCCAAAGAGCGAGCACAACTCTCTCCAAACGGAGAGAGAGCAGAACATCTCAGCAAAGAAACGGAAGACCCAAACACCCACCAAACACGTGTGCTAGCTCTGAAAAACACAATCACCAAAATAAACAACTCACCGGATGGGCTCACTGGCAGAACGGATAAGACAGAGAAGACAGTCAATGAACTCGACAGAGTGTTACCAGAAATAACCCAACCCGAACAGACGGGAAAAGAGGTCGGAGGGGGCAGGGGCGGAGCCCAGAGACCCGAGGAACAGCAACAAAAGTCTGAGATTCACGCCATCGGGATCCCAGAAGAGAGGATAAGAATGCAGTGCTGAAAAAGTATGTACCTAATAGCTGAAAACTTCCCAAACTTTGAAAAGACAAACGCATGGATTCCAGAAGTTCAGCAGACTCCAGAGAGAGAAACCCCAAGAAAACACCCAGATACGTCAAAAATGGCTGAAAACCGAGGACAAAGAAAACTCCGGAGAACACCCAGAGAAAAATGGTGCACGCCCTACAAAAAGAATAATGGTGCAGGTTTCTCATAAGAGACCACGGACGCCGAAAGAAACGGCGTGTTTCTAATGTACTGAGAGAAAAGACCATCGAAGCGAGAACCACCTCGAGGAGCAGGGAGATAAACAACTGGACGAGGAAAACCGAGGCCTCGGCCCCCAGGCTGCTCTCAGGAGCTGCTGGAGGAAGGTCGTCGGAGGGAAGGGGACCACCGGCACACGACGCGCAGCAGCCGCACGCAGAGCAGCAGGGCGGCCACAGGCGAGCAGCGGGCCGCCCCCTCGGCTCCGGGAGCTGTCTGTCCAGGGCGAGGGCAGCAACTGTGACGTGGCGTGACGGAGTCTCTGATGTCCGTGAGGCCAACACACAGGACAAGAGCTCATACAGAGGGACGGGCGAGGGACCAACGCGTCCCACTCAAGTGGTCAAACGTCAGTTCCAAGAAAACTAAAAAGCTAAGCGTGCGTAGAACGTGACCCCACACACAACGCCCAGGAGCCAGCGTCAACAGCACAGCCAGATCCGAACGGGACGCCGACACCGCGCAGCTCAGCCCGAGCGGCAGGGGCAGGGACGGAGGACGGAAACAGGAGGAACACGAGGAAACAAGCCAGACAGACCAGCAACGCTTCCCACGCAAACGCTCTCCACACACGCGGTAAGAGGCAAGAGGCCGGCGGGACGCACAGGGCGTCTCCAAGGAGCTCTTCCAAACGCCACGGTAAACACAGGGCCAAAGTAAAGATACACGGTGTAGACGCCAATCGAAAGACAGCGGGAGTGGCTAGACTGACAACACACAAGACAGACTTCAGAGCAAAGAAAATAACCGCAGCTAAAGAGGGACACCGCATCTGTGCAGGAGGCTCAGCCACCAAGAGGATGCCCTGAGTCTAAGGGTCCACTTGTCGCCCTGGTGAATTCCACGAAACACGGAAGGAAGAAATACACCAATTACACACAATGCCCCCGGGAAACGCAAGAGGAGGGGACAGCTCCCCGGCTCGTTCAACGAGACCCTCAGTGCCCTGACGCCAAAGCCAGACCAAGAAAACCGAAGGCGGGACTCCTCGCGAGCACAGGCTCCAAACCCTCCACACGACAGCCACAGACTGAACCCAGCCACGCGCTGAAGCAGAGGAACCCACAGTGACTTGAGGGAGGGGGCCGGCGCGGACGGGCCCGGGCTCACCTTCTTCACCAGGAGGCAGACGTGGTGGCCCTGGATGGAGCGGCTGTACATTGAGGCGCACGAGTTCACTCGCTCCACGACTGCAACAGAGCAGGCAGGGGTGAGGCCGCAGCCGCCCCCTCGGCGACAGGGGACACCACGTGTGCGCAAAACTGTGCCATCCATCAAGTCATGGCAAATCTCTTACCGGAAAAATGGTGATGAAAACAGATCTTTGCCAGAAGGTTCTGGAAGGACATACTGATGCCGTCGACTTTGATTGAGCTCATGCTCAGGTCCCCAGACTCCAGCAGCTTGGCAAAGGCGTCGCTGTGGGGAGGACACAGGACAAGAGGCTGACAACAGGCAGGCTCGCCAGCACCCAGGCAGACAAAGCCCCCAGCCCCG